CCCCCCCCCCCCTCCATTTCTTTATGTTGTGTCTTGGCAGATGATGAATGTCCACTTCTGGTTCCACGCTTTGAGCGAGATCCCGGATATCCTCGTTTGGATCAAGAACGGGGAGACTTTGCAGGCAAGTGAAACCTTGTGTTTTATTTTGTTTTTATTATGACACAAAAAATCCATGTCTGTCCATAGAAAAAGAGTCTCAAGATAGATTAGCAATTCATAGCGTAAGCGAAAGTCTGAATTTTGCGTTCTTTACTCTTGTCTTTGCTGTCTTGTGGTCTGCATGGAGTAACCAAAGGGCGGGTTGTATGCATGCGTACATCTTTCGAACCCTGCAAGGCAACAAGCAGATCGGACGCAATCGGACAAAAACAGAATAATTGCTTGCATCGATTAGAAGGTGCGCGGGAAGGAAACCCAAAGGGAAGACACACGCCAAACTGAAACGACGATGCGTAACTATTTCATCGACACCAAAAATGCCAAGAACGGAAACAGTGCGCCCTCATTGTATATGCCTCATCGCTTCCTTCTTCCCCTTGTGTTGCGAGCATTCCACGGAGGTGTACTTTGGTCCCTCCCTCGATCCGTAAATTCCCCTGTCGTAGGATTATGAAGATGGTAAACACCTCCTTGGGCATGTTTCGGTTCTTGGCGGTGTTCTTGATCTTTGCAATATTGTCGGTGCTACACCTGAGTTACGGTAGCCAACGTGGAACTGCTGCTTGCGGGAGGAGTTGATCCCCTTTATAGCCTCTTGCTGCAGAGCATGTTCGTGGCCATTCTGTAACATGCCCTCGGCACAGACGTGTTGTGTTTGTGCGTCATTTCTGCGACTATGGCTTCATATTTTTCCTCGTTCTCTTAATTCATTAGGCAGCGGTGGCTCGCTGCAAAAACCGTGGCGTCTGCAGCTGCGAACTCTTGTGATGTGTGTGTGTATGTTTTTTGTGTGGCTCTTGTCTTCAGGTTTTCGATTTAAGAGAAACGACTGCGAAATGAGACAAAGTCTTCTCGTGAATCGGTGTTGGCTGTGACACGTCGGTTTTACTATGTTACGCCCTTTGTGCTTCCTACTTGGTCTCTCATTTAACTGTGACTGCCCCCGCTGCCCTGCTTTTGGAATCCTCCTGTCTTTCTGTCTCTTGTTTCCTTCTTCTTTGCCACCAGCATACCAGTGTGTGCTGGTCATTTCCCAAAGTAGCGCAGTCACCGACCCGACCACTATGCTGTCCCTGCTTTTGAATCCTCCTGTCTTTTTGCTTCTTGTTAACTTCTTTGCCACCGGCATAACCAGTGTGTGTTGGTCATTCCCCAAGTAGCGCACTCACCACCCCGACCACTACCCTTCTGTGCCCCCCCCCGCCTCTCGAACAGGTGGTCTTCAACGTTTTGGTCCTGGTGATCGTGTGGCCGTGGGTATACATCGCCTACCGCCGCGTGCTGACCAACCTCAGGGCCAAGTACTGCGGACATGAGGTGAAGTACGATCCGCGTAGTCCCGTTTGAGATCCCCCCCCCCCCCCCCCCCCCCCCCCCCCCCCCCCCCCCCCCCC